TTGGGTACATAAACAATTGCTCATGGGTTTGGGTCTGCCCAGCATTTCTGTCCTTTTTCCTCCTCAACATGCTTTGCACTCATAATAGATTTTCCTTTTGTTCTTGGTCACCTTACTTGGAAGAGCACGAAGTTTCAGGCTCCCAGGGAGACCTCAACTGGCTCAGATATCTCAACTCTGTAACTTTGGGTATGTGTAGAAGTGCCTTTATGTTAGGGGAAGTTGAAAGTGAGAGCCTGGAAAAGCTTACATGCCTTTGAAGAAGACAATTTGGTGACAGATTGGCAGAGCCTTCTAGGAAGGGGGTTTTGGTCTGAGGGACGACCAGTGACAAGGACACTGGAGTAATTTCAAAGTTTCTGGCTACTCCAGTGTAAGCGACTGTTGTTTTCACTGTCAGCAGGCAATAATCAGCCATTTGTATGTCCCTGTGCTCTTACGGGGGGACACAGCTGTAGCTGTGAGGTGTCAAAGTGTACCTGTTGAGGTGGCACATCACTCCCTCTGTCCTTGTTTTATAGCCTAGGAAATATGGCACCAGTTCCAAGAGCAGGCACATGTTGGCTCTATTGGGGACCAGTGCTCCCTGTACACTATTCCCCTGAGCTACACCTTCTGATGGGATTCTGCATCTTGTTGTAGGGATTATTAACTCAGAATTTGAAGAATCTGAATAGTAAACAAGTGCTCAAGTGTTTCAGACCTGCGTGGTTTCTTGCTCATTTTCTCTTCCTTGTTCTTGCTGATGAATGCTTTAGTTCCCACATCAAAAGAGGAGTAGTGTCAGCAAGAGGCTGTGTGGCTTTGGGGAGCTCCCCAGGGGCAGGCAGGCTGTGAAGGGTTGCATTGCTGTGAGGTTGGGAGCGTAGGCAGGAACGTTCCAGGTGCTTTCCAGCAGCTGCAGCCATTGGACAGCTGCCCCAGCTTGGGGATGCAGGACTTAATGTGCAGTTCCATTTCTGTCTCCATTTCTGCTCCCTACCTGCACACCCCCAAATATAAAGGCGTTTCCTAATTCTGTACAGGATCAGCAGATGCCCTCTACCTCCCATGTAATGTAATCCTTACTGAAATGGAAATACCACTGTAATACAGCAACAAGATGTCAGTGATTCTTTTCAGCTGTCCCCACTTTGTGGGGTGTATCTGTGTAGTCCTGCCTAGTACAGCATGCTGCTGGACACTGCTGCCTTCCTGCTGCTCACTGTCCAAAATATTGCAGAGATAGAAACTGCAGTGATTTTGAAGGGGGTGTCCCTATAGTTTCAGAAGATGTGTTTTGTTGTGGTGTTTTTTTCTTCGCACAGAAAACTAATAAGAAACTTGTTGCCTCAGGAGACCAAGTTAAGTGAATTTCTAAGAGGCTGGGCACTGTCATGTAGCAATATTTCAAGTCTCATGCTTAGGGGAAATTGGCTGTAAGGATGAGGAAGCAGAGCTGTGTATCTGCAGTTGTTTTGGCAGGATTTTGCATCCCATTGCTTTCCATTGAAGCATTAAATAGTGACTACTGCTGGAGACAGGATATTAAACTTGGTACAATCTCATGTGTGTTTTTTAGAGCTTTTGATTCTCAAGAAGTGAATGAACTCCCTTATTATAAAACTTCTGTTCTAATCCTTGCAATTTAATAATATCATTAAAATGTTGTATAATGTGTATGCAATTTAAAGTTTTGACTTAGAAAGGCAAGTTCAAACCTGCTCATAAGTCCCTCCTGCTGTGCTTAGGAGCTGGCAGGCAAAGTAAAATGCTTTGTCAGCAAAGCAAAACAAGTAATTAGAACTGAACTTCTTTGCACTGGGAAGAAACCACTGTGCTCTTGCCACCTCAACCCATGAATTTCATATAGACAGGTTTCAGTGTTTGTGGAATTATGATCTGGAATTAGTCTCACAGACTCTGTAAGATGGTGAGTCCTACTTTTTATTTGTTTTTTGTTTTTTTTTTGTTTTGTTTTTTTTTTTTTGTTGTTGTTGTTGTTTTGTTTTACTTTCTCTCTCTTTTTTTTTTTTTTTGGTAGTTCTCATTCTCATATACCCACCTTTATCTTGCCATGACTTTATACCATGCTGAAAGGTTGCAATTCTCTTCACACTGTGGCTTTCTTTTTTTTTTTTTCCAGGAAAGAAACTGGTGTTGGGGCTTGAAGGGAGCTGTAGAATACATGGGAGACATTGAAACGACTTAGTATGAGGCCAAGAGTGAGCAAAGATAGCAGAGTACCAGCTGCTGAAGGGCTGTGCTTGCAGGGTCAGAGCACAGCAGCTACATCCCTGAGACTGCCCCTGTACTAATTGAAAAGATAAGACAGACATGGGCTAGGGACAGCATTCTCTGGCTTCTGCTGCCAAGTGGCAGGACACAGCTCTTGTCCACAATGGTTGGGCTGTCAGGCCTCTGCCAAAACCCAGGTGCCCTCATCCAGCCTGCCTGCTGGGAATGGTTCTGGCACCTGCTTCATCCTGCATAATCCAGGAGAGCAAGAGGCGGCCTGAGCCAAATCCCTGAAATGTGCTAATTGTTAAACATTTTGGCCAGTACTGGAATCTCTGCTTCAACCTTGTCTTCTTTAGTAGCCACTTAGCCCAGCTTATGCAAACTTCCTCAGATATATTGGGGTTTTAAACACAGAGCCATAGAAATGTTGGTTGAAAGGGAGTTCTGGAGGGTGTCCAGTTCAGCTTCCTGGAAGGAGCAAATGTGGCTGGTCCAGAATTAAGGAATCCTAAAGGTAGTTATAGAGATTTTAATAGTTCTGTTTCATGAGCAGTGTAAATGAATTTTTTATTTTTCTTGCTTTCAGTGGGATTGAGCAGAACCCTTTGTCAAATCCTAAGTGCTGGGTTGTGTGTCCCAGACAAGTAGAGTGTGTCATTAATCCCAGACAAAGTTTTTGCCTGGGTAAGTGTTAGGAGCATTTGTTTTGCAGTGCTGCAGGCAGGATGGTGGCAGCTCTGTGTGCCCTGGGCAGGCTCCAGCTGTTCTTGATCTCTCCTCAGTTAGTTAATTAGATGCAATATTTCCACCTCTGCTGTGTCACGGTTTAGGGAGGCACTCCCCAGTTTAGTGCTCCCACAAACTCTCCAAACTCATTCACTCTCCCTCCCCCCCTGCAGTGGCTGGAGAGGAGAATAGGAGGCAAAAAAGGTAAAGATTGTGGGTTCAGATAAGAACAATTTACTGGAAATGGCAGTGAGATAAGGAGAGGGACAGTAAGGGCAACAATATTCATGACAGAGAGTACAAGAAATGTTACTGCTCCCTGTGGAAACCCACAACAGACAACACCAGCTCTCTCTGCCTTGGAATTGGAGCCATCAGGAACTTCTGCTCCCCAGAAAAGACTCCCTTCCCCCTGCCCCCAGTAATGATGTGAGGTGGTACAGAATAACCGTGTTGTCCTGGCCCTGCCCTCTCTGGACTATTAAAAAAAATTGACTCTGTCCTGGCTGGAATCAGAACATGCTGCTAAATTTCTGCATGGATACTTAGCTTTATAGTATTCTACTCAACCTCAGGAATATATTTGGCATTTCATTTCTTCATTTTGGTATCACAGAATAATTTAGGTCAGAAAATACCTCAAAAATCATTGAATCTAACCATTAACCTGACCAGTCCACCGCTAAACAATGTACCCAATGCCACATCTACACATCTTTTAAGTACCTGCAGGGATGGTACTTCCCTGGGCAGCCCATTCCCACGCTTGACCACCCTTGTGTTGAAGACTTCTTTCCCAATACCCAATCTAAACCTCCCTGGCATAGCTTGAGACCAGTTCCTCTTGTCCTGTCATTTGTTACCTGGAAGAAGAGGCCAGCCCCCAGCTGGCTAAAAAGTCCTTACAGGGAGTTTTGGAGAGTGTTGAGGTCCTTCCCAAGTCTCCTTTTCTCCAGACTGAACAGTCCCAGCTCTCTCAGCTGCTCCTCGTGTGAGTCACTTTCTAGACCTTCACCAGTTTCACTGCCCTTCTTTGGACTCATGCCCAACTTACTGTCATCTGCAAACAGACTGAGGGGATGGACACTTGATCCCCATGTCCACGTCACGGATAAAGATATTTAAACAGGACTGGCCTCAGCAGAGCCCTGGGAAACACCACTAGTGACCAGCCACCAACTGGATTTAATTCCATTCCCCAGCACTCTCTGGGCCATCCAGCCAGCCAGTTTTTATACCCATCCAAGATGTAAGCACTCAGTTTCTCCGTGGGGATGCTGTGGGAAACATTGTCAAAGGCTTCAGTAAAGTCCAAGTAGACAATATCCACAGCCTTTGCCTCTACCACTGGGCAGGTTACCCTGTAATAGGAGGAGATGAGCTTAGTCAAGGGCGACCTGCCTTTCATAGACCTGGTAGCTGGGAGAGGAGAAGGTTTGGGAGGCAGTTGGTGTCTTTAACTGGTGTGGGTAACTTCAGAAATCCAGGTGTTTATTGAGCACAAATTTATATGTGGTCTTTGTGCCTTCACTGTCTTTTACCTGTCTGTAATATTGGAATTATCGGATGAAATTCTTAAAGGCTGGTGTGAACACTGGTTACATCACTTATGTTTAGCATTGGGAACGATAGTGTTCAGGATGATTTCTTCTTGATTTCATCCCTGATTGTGAGCTTTCCTTCCTCCTGTGGCAGCCAAAGGAGGGACCAGGTCCGTAATTTTTTTCTTGGTTTGAAATTTCACACCATAACCTAGAAGAAGATAGGGATGGTGTTGACATAGTGGGGAAAATACTCCCTGAAAGCAATCTGTTACAGATTATTCTAGCAAAATAATCACCTCCATACATGTCAAGTTAGAGTAGGACTTAAGATTTTTTTCTTCTATGGCTTTACTCTCCTAATTAGTCATGTGTAATTTCATATTAAATGATTATTCAAGACTAGAAGTGGCAATTTACTGCTATTTTGAAATAAAAATTACTTTGGAGTTTATGATTGCATATTCTACAGCTGGATGTTTCAGTGCCTCATTGCCTCTGTTCCTGTTACAGGTACATGTGACAGCATTGCAGCAATGAGTGGAATTTTAAAGAGGAAGTTTGAAGAAGTTGATGGCTCCTCACCTTGTTCCTCTGTGAGGGAATCAGATGATGACATTTCCAGCAGTGAAAGTGCTGACAGTGGTGATAGTGTCAATCCATCCACTTCTAATCATTTTACCCGTAAGTACTAACTCTGCGTACCCAAAGAATTATTCCTGTTTCTCAAAATAAAATAAATTCTGTGGTTAGATAAGCATGATGATTTTTAATTGAGCAGATCATGAAACAGTCTCTCCATGATGTTCAGTTTGTGATTTGCTCAAAAATACTTAGTAAAATACTCTTACATTCTTTTACTTCTTGTCTGTTAGACTGTTGTAAAAGTTTGAAGTCTCTTGGAAGCTCCTACCTATTTGCTGCTTGAATTATGTAGCTGTTTGTAGTTAATGTTAGCAATTGTGTTCAAAATAGTTCTAACAGGTACTGTAGGGAAAGTGCTTTAGCTCAGTTTATTTTCCTTAGCTGAATGTATTGCAGCTGTCAGCTCTCTGTAATACAGTATTGGTGAGAGTTCTTCTCTAAAAACAATATAAGCTTTCTTTTACTTGGAACTGATGAATGTTGTGTATGGTAAACATTATTTCAATAGTTTCTATTTTTCAGGTACCAGAGGATATTTCTGTACTTTGCAATGTAATAATTCAAATAAGAATTTGGTCTTAAGTTAGCCAAGCTACATTTGCAGCATATCTTTCTGGGAATGATAAATTTACAGTTTATGTTTGCAGTTGATGGTACGTGTTTTAGTTGGTTATATTATTTATTAATAGTGAACTGCATCTTCTAAAAAGCAGGGGTTTGCCTCCTTCAACTCTGTTGCATTTAAATCTTCTCTATGGAGTTATTCCTTAAAACTGTGAGCCAAGGAGTAGGTGAGGCTCCTCATTGCTGCTTGTCCAGAGTGTGTTCCATGTAACTGAGTGGGTGGATGTGCCTAGAAACCATGTTTGTAGCATGTAATATGAATGTTCTTATAACTGCACAACCTGCCAGATGCTGCTGTTCAGTTTGAGCAGGCATTTGGATGTGTGGGTCTGAATCCCATTTGCTCTGGTAGGGAATGTTCCTGTGCACAGGAGGGACAGGCACAGCTTTTGAAACAGGTTTACGTGGGACAGTCTTGAGGTGCTATATGATATTTAAGATGCAGTGCTAGTTGGAGACCTATTTTATTGAAGTGCCACAAAGGAGTAAGGGACCCAGTAAACCTCTTTGGTAGTATTTAGAAATTTAAATTTAGATTAGTATTTAGAAAATTTTCTTGGGGACAGTATTATCTGCATGCTGCTACTTTAACATTTGCATCTGTTGAAGAAGTTAGTTGGTTATTCATTGTAGACTGAAAACAGGCTTTTTGCATCAAACAGTCATTCCCACCCACACAAAAGACCACAATTTTATTGTGAATACATGCACAGGTGATACAATGAAAGGGAACAATTCAGGGGACAAACTTGGAAGTTGTAGTACATGCATGGAACAATAAGCTTTAATTGTAGTTGACATAATAAACAATTTAGTTTAAAGGAACTTCCCTTTCTGTAAGAGAAACGACAGTATTTCAGTGTTATGATTAATGATTTATCTAACTGAGATACCTGTGGCCAGAGTAATAAATGTTTATCTGTATGTGCACTTGCATACATACAGAAATTATACATATTACATTAAAAAAACCAAAACATTTTTGTATATCCATTGGTGATACAGAAGTAGAAAGAGCAAGTAGTTTATGTGTGCATTGACCTTTTTTAAAAGTATTGTCTTTAATACAGATGCACCAGCCTAAATTCCAAGAAATCAAATATAGAACCCCTGTATTACTTAAGAGCCATTAAGTGAGATTCACCTGAAAATTACGTGCACACGTAATGTATACTAATGCAACTGTTTAACAGTGTTCATTGGAAGGTGTTTTGTTCATGCTTTAAACTCATTCATCTTCCACAATAAAAGACAAGAGATGAGCTTTTCTAAGCTGAATATTTGAATCTAAATATAAGGTTGAGTTCTGTGAGACTTTTTTCAGTGAGCAGACTGAAAAGAGCCAGTGCAGAAAAAAGGCTGTCGAGATTCCTTGCCTCTGTTACATGCCTGAATACCTCCTTGATGGGGGTTATCTTCCTCAGCTACTTCCTGATGTGTTGTACCATTTTCTCTTCTATTTAGTGGGACACTGTCAGATCCTGTGTACTGTCTTTTTTCTGCTCTGTTTTCATATAGGTGAATATGAAGTTGACTATAAACTCTCTTTTATGGATTGAAAAGAGGGAGAGAGTTGTGTGACCTGTAGTCAGCATCAAGATCTATAAATTAATTCTTAAACGGTGAATTTAAAAAAAAGCTAACACGGTCCTCTAAGTCTTATTTTTTCTTTCTAATTGATCTGACAAAGAGATAATTCTAAATTACTTGTAACTACAATCTCTTCAGCACTTTAGGAAGCAGGCATTTTGTATACGAATCCATCTAGCACAGCTGATGCATCTCTGTATTTGCACAACCCTTGATACTATATGTATTGGGCGAGATAAACAGGAGCCTAGCAAGAATTGTGCTCAATTAGTCTTACAGTCAGTTTAACCTGCCAGCTAAATGAGGCACACAGCTGCTGTGGATCATTCAGGTGGGGCAGAACCAGCAGAAGATGACTTTGTTCTCAGCAATTAACCCTGTAGTGTGATGGCAGAAAACACATGACAGAGATGGCTCTAAGTGCTATTGCTTGTGACTATTACGCTGGGATAATTACAGAGTTTCTTTAACAATATATCCATTTAAACAAATAAAGACAGCAACAAGAAGAAATTAATAAATCCCTAGCCTAGGCTGCGGGCAACTGAGTCAGTAAATAAAAATTACAGTCCATAAAGAACAGACAAATTTTACCATTAGCATTTTCTTTATATAGTGTGTGTATTTTTACAGATGTGCACATTTTTAAGTCTCTTAGCAAATGGTGATGGAGTGCCTTCATTACTGCTGGCAGATATAGTCCCTGTTGTGTGTTTCACTTACCTTTCTCAGTCTATTGAAGCAATTTCAGTTTGATTCAGCAGATCATTAGTCATTGCAGATTTCCTTTAATGGGTGACAAAGTGTATTGCTGGCTGGTCCACATGCCTTTCCCATTTCACAGACCTGCCTTCATATCAGAAAGAAGGATGTTCATCTTTCAGTAGCAGTGCAAGCGTTGCACGTTCAGTATTAGCCAGGACTTGGGCATACGCAGAATACAGGGCTGGAGTACTGAAAATGCCATTGGAGCTCCTTTCAATTGCCCTGTTCAGTTCTGCCACTCCATTGCTGTGTTTCATCTGCTCCACAGCAAGCTGAAAAACCTGGAATTGCTGTTGGGGATGTCAGTACAACACTCTGACCATTCCTGTATTATGTGCACTGAGGAACATTGAGTTCCACATTGCAGCTCAGCCATTGGGGAATATTCAATACCCTTCCAAGGAAGGGTAATGAAGCTCATGAAGGGTCTGGAACATAAATCCTATGAGGAGCAGCTGAGGGAGTTGTGGGTGTTCAGTGGAGAAAAGGAGGCTCAGGGGAGACTTTATTGCTCTCTACAGTTCCATGAAAGGTTGTCAAAAGGTGGGAAGTCTCTTCTCACAGACAAGGGGAAATGACCTCAAAGTGTGCCAGGGGAGGTTTGGGTTGGATATTAGGAAAAGTTGCTTTGCTATAAGAAAAGTTAAGCATTGGAACAGGCTCCCCAGGGAAGTGGAGAAATCGCCTTCCCTGGAAGTGTTCAGAAAACAAGTAGACATGGCACTTCATTATACACTTTAAGGGGCATGGTGGTATTCAGTCTAAAATAATTTGATGGTCTTGGAGTTCTTTTCCAACTAATAATTTGATGACTTTGTGATTCTCCCTGCTTTGGTGAGGTACCTGCCTCTAAATGCTTGGTGGGTTTTTTTCTGATACAGAAGAATACCTGTATTTAACTTACAGAATTGTGTGCAATTGAAAGACCTGTGGTGACCTTGTGAAGTCCTGTCTTTTGCACTTAGGTGCTGGTAATAACTCCCGATAGCACATTAATCACAGATGCATTTCTTAAGAAACACAAGGAGCTGCTGCTTTCCTCTACCATTTCAACTTCAGTGTCCTGTAGCTGAAACTTCTCTTCCTTGCCTGCAGTCACTTGAGATGGCCTGCAGCAGCTTCTCTGATAAGGTGATTATCACCAACAGAAGGTGCTGCCATCACAACAGTCTGGTTGATGTCCTCCATCAGTTCTCTCTCTATTGCCATTAACATTATCACTGTCGTGAGCAGGGCTATCCATAATCACAGGTCCTGCCATTCCACTAATTAGGGTACTGTCTTTAGAGTACTTTTGGATCTACTTTGGTTCATTTGGAATTGACAGGTCACTGAGTGCTCTAAGAAAGCTCTTTGGTCTCTAAGTGCTCTTGCCATCTTTTGATCTTGCAATTAGATATAATGAGGAATTTGAAAACACGAAAGTACATCCTTGTTACAGTTCCTTCAATGTGCCCTGTAAAGCATTGTCTGAATTTTGTAGAGCTGCTGACTTACTGAGATTGCCTTACATATGTGCCCATGCATAATGTAAAAGAAGGCATGAAATCCTTAGGAAGGTGTAGCTTCTTCTGAATTATCTTCATAGAGGGATAAAGTTTTATTTGGTATAAGGTCAATAGCACAAGACTTGACCTGAGCTTTGAACTTAAGCTGCATGTTTAATTGCTGGTTAATGATAGAAACTTCAGCTCTGAATGAGGTAGAAGTGGTGGTGCTGGTTTACTATGGGAAAACATGTGTAACTAAATGCAGGCATTTCTTTTTTCATGGCATCTTGCAGTTATTCATGTTGCCAGCAACCAGGCTTGGAATTTCCTCGTTAATGAGGAATATGTTTTTATTGCTATTTGTTGACTCATGTTATGAAATGCTAACAGGTTGAGAGGTTCTTGTATTTGATTTTAAAATCAGTCAGCTCATCTGAGCATTAAAAAGCAAGAGATGCAAATAAATTCAGCGAAATGTAGTGTAGTGTCTTAGCTCAAACTCACACAGAATGACAGGACAGGGTATACCATGACAGCATCTCTTCATCTGGAATAAGGAATACTGTGGTG